AAGATTCTATTAGTTCTCGTGCTTCCACCTCTCTCTCTCTCTGTAATCCCTAAACCCTAGTTTTGTAAAGCTTTTTAACATCCTCACATCCCCTGTTACTCTCTCTCTCCTATAGCTGTAATATCTCTCTCTATCTCAGTGCTATCTCTTAGTTTGAGAAGGCTATTTATCCCATTTGACCATTGATATCTTCATTTTGTTTCATTGGTCTTATTTTTTTGTGCTTTTTACTGTATTTTATTTTGCACTTCAATCTTTCTATCTCGCTCTCTCATTCTATTTTTATGTGTGCATAGCTACCATATTCTAAATTTTCATGTAGTTTCAGAACCCATTCGAAACCCATTAGGCTTCGGTTTTCCATTACTTAACACAGATTCAAAATCCTTTCCTTTTTCCAGGCGCCCATTATTTCCATCAATTTATTGGGTTTTCTTCTCTCCATAGATTTCAGCGATGTCTGAAGAAGATGTTGTTGCTGCGGGTGCTACCTCACCAGTTGTTTCTGATAAAAAGAGGAAGATTGATGATATAGAGGCTCCTGAGATTACAAAAAATGGGGTTTCTAGCCCTAAACATGCCACTGAAAACGAGGGTGATTCTGAAGCTCCCAACGAAGAGAATCAAAACCCTATCCCAGAGGCTCAAGAGATAGATTATCGCCTCTCAAATTCTAGTGATGTTAAGAAGCATCGTCTTGATGAATCAAGTGACGAGCCTGGTAGGTTTTCCTCTTAATTCATGTGTTTTATTTTTATTTTTTCAAGAGTGACTTTCTTAGAAACACTGAGAAAGCATTGTAAAATTATTATTATTATTTTTACTATTTTGGTTATTATTTTTTATGTGCTGGTTACTGTATATTTGTTTTTTTTCCTTTATAGGTTTTTAATTGTTCGAACCCAGAAGTAAAATATTTGATGGGCATTGTTTCACAAAGACTGAACTCATTATCTCAAGATAAGGAATATAGTAAAATGCTGTTTTCTATATTCACTATAAGGAATTTCATGAGTCCGAGTTTTGATAGTTTCCTCTGTTACACACAAACATATGTATATATGTGTATATACTTCCTTTTTTATACGCACATATCTGTAATCTTAATTTCATAACTTGCAATCAGATAGTACAAAGGAAAAAGATCAAGTCTACCTATGAGATATCATATTGGTTGTTAGCATTTTGAAGTCATCATGTATGCTCGCATTGTTATTTATGGAAAAGCCTATTTATCAGTGATCAACTATGTATGTGTGTTAGTGTGTATATTTCTTTTGTTATATACATGCATGTGTGTGCGTGCGTGTGTAATTTCATAACTTCCAATCAGATAGCAAAAAGGAAAACGATAATGTCTGGTTATGAGATATCATATTGGTTGTTTAGCACTTAGAAATCAAGTATGCTCGCAGTGTTATCTGAGGAAAATCCTACTCATCAGTGGTTGCTGGTTTATTTTTTAATCATTAAGTGGACCCAGAATGTGAAATCTTTGATATGCTATTGTATCTCTTTCTCTTTGTATATTGCTTCCAAGAGGAAACACTTTCTCACTTATATAAACAGAAATTTGTACTTGTTTATTTTGAGATTCTTGATCTGATGAAAGTATCCAATTCAAATTACTGCGATATTTCCCATGGTTCATGCATGCATTCTATTTTTTATTTTCCCATGATTCAAGCATGTATTTGATTTTTGATTTTGTGAGCCGAGCAATACACCAGCTCAAATAACATTACCCTTTACTTCTTGTTACAAATTTTATACTGTAGTTGAGGAGATACTTAAGTATATGCCTAGATAGATCATATTCTTTGCCTTTATCATCTACCTGTAATCTCCTCTCTAGAATGATCTGATATGCTTGTTTGTGTTAGATTATAGTTATTAACCTAAATATGGATATTTCTTTGGAATTTTCTTACTAGTTCTCTAGGGAACAATGATGCTTGCTTGAATTTCTTACTCTCTCTAACATGTATTCTGACCATGGTAGTTCTTTTATCATGAGATGATTTTGTTGTGCCAAGACTTGTTTGTCCAATTCTTGGCTATGGTGGGTGAATAATTTTTGGATGCTCTTATTGCCTGTTTTTCCCAAGCAAAGATTAATCTTTTGGTAGTTAACCTTCCCTCTAAAAAAAAAAAATCTTTTGGTTTTAATGTTTATAATTTACTAAACATTTTATTTATTTCTTTTACTGGTTTTGGTAGATTGTAGGCTCACTACTGACGGAGGAGACAAGAATTTGGAAGTGGAGCCATTCATAGCATTTTTATTTTTGGAAAATATGTTGTTTTATTAATTTATGGTAAAATAATTTCAGTTTATCATCATTATTTTGTTTTCTTATTCTTCAAAAAGAAAATCACTCTTCATTTTTTCTTGATTTCTTCTGTTTTTTCCTTTCCACTATATGGCTTTGGAGCTTCTAAGCTTTTCATTATGTGGAGATTTAAAGTTTTTATACCACAAAATCCCTTTTCATAAAGTTTATTAGAATATTTTGTTAACTCATAACTGGGATACCTATTTTCCCTACCACGAACTGCATAGTTGATAACATTAGAAATCTCGTTCCACTTTCTATGTGTGTGTCAGTGTGTGTATGTCTAATCATGGACAGGCAGCCTAAAGTTCCTTGCCTGTGCCTCATGGGAGTGTGGGTCAGGTGACTCAGTTTGAAACTTATACCCTGCAAGTCTTACAACTCTAGAGGTTCTTCTAAATGGTAAAAGGGGAAATAATCAAGAATTTTGATTTAGGTTATGAAGATCCTGGTTTCATTTTCATGAATATTTTGATGGCATATCACGGATATTATTGCTTCTTTCCATGCGATTTTTTTTTCTCATTTCATTTTCTGGTTCCATTTATTTTGCTAATGGCTTTTTGAACCTCTGATGGTTTGTTAGCTTGTTGCTTTTCAATGGATCTGTGATTGGTTTTTTGGGGTTAGTTCTATGGAGGAGGTTAGTTTTAAGAAGATGATATTCTCTGTCTCTAGGTCACTAAATTGTTGATGTTATATATTTCACAACTGGACTATTCATGTAAAAATCTGAACTCCACATCTCTCACCTTTGGGACAAGGGTAATAAATGTGGCGTTAACTATAATGCCATACTTGTGTTGCTTTGGAAATTCTCAATGGTGACATAAGGTTGAGTTTGATTATTTTCGAAGATTGTTTTTTTTGGGTAGATTCATTTCCAAGATTGTTGAGAACAATTCATTACCATCTCAAGCCGGTCTCACTTCGTGCATGAATTTGATTTCCTTACAAGACACACACACAAGTTTATATTTTCCTCGTTTTAAAGCCAGAAGATGTCCTCTGTAGTTAGATCAAAAGGGACAATATTGCTGTCTTTGTAGATTGATTTTAATTCCTCCCAGTCACAAGCATGATTGGGTAGTTCTTGTATCTTTTATTGAAGCTTGTTATGTCTGTTGTTTGATTACTGTACTGTGTGAGTGTGCATCAACAATTTATTGTACTAGAAATTGAGATATTAACGATCTGCTTAAAAGTTAAAACTAACCTCCTCATTAGAGCTAACCATACAAAACCAACCACAGATTTGAAAAGCAATGAACTAATAAACCAGCAGCCATTAGCAAAAATAAATCAAACCAGAAAAAGAAGTGAAAAAAAGGAAACTTCAAACCGAAAGAAGCAATTATAGCTGTGATAAGCCATCAATAGGTTCATGAATCTTGGATCTTCATAACCAAATTTCAAATTCCAGGAAATGTAGATTGTATTTGATGGCTTCTCAATTTTGATGATCTTGTGGGCTACCCAACTGATTACATAGTGGAAAAAAAAGGGAAGAAAGAAGCACCTCTGCATGCCCAGTCACCATGCAACTAGGATTTCAATAGTGATCTAAACAGAAATTGGAAAGAAAAATAAGAAAGCTAATACATGACATGATTTCACAATGCACTAAAGCATTCATTCCTCCATTGTAATTCATTCTATTTTGCTGTAATTTTTTGCACATTTGTTATGGGAACAATAAAAGCAAACACAACAAACTGCTCATACTCTCTACTCTGCTCATAAGAATTTAGCCCTCTCAAATACTAGCCTCCAAACAAGCTAAAGAAGCTGAGGAAAGGATTTAGGAATTCAAGCTAGAAAGGATAAGTTCTGATTTCCAATTGTATTCCTGGAATTTCAGCCTGTCTTGATGAAGGGAAAGAAAAAGTGGAAAACCCACTCTGTTGTATGGGGCAAGGTAGCTCGAGTATTAAAAGTGGGAACTCCCACTAAACAGAGAAGGAACCTCTTACCGATCATTCTCCACACACACAAAAGGGACGTCAAGAGTGAACAAAAACTGGAAAAGAGAAGTATTTTCGGTTTTTTTTTTTTCTATTTGAGCTGAGGAAAAGTCTAGGCTGCCTGGTGAAGCCCTTGAGAAGGGGTGCACAAGTATAGGGGATTTGGAAAGGAGTAAATTTGCTTAGGGTGAAATTTATTACAAAATCAAGAATGCGAATGCAAGTTTGGTTTCGTGCGATGATGATTTTTAAGAGGGATTTCTGGATCAAACATACAGCACTCAAAGCCTGATATCCAAGGCTTTTCACCATTAGCTGCGATCGAGATGCAATAGTTTAGAAGACCCCTAGATGAAGAAGTGAAGAGCTCATCAGTCTCAGAATGTTAATGGACTTCTTGTTTATGCCAAGGAACGAAGATAAAATGCTACAGTGACCAGATAGCAGAAGTGATTTCATGGTCAAATCGTTTTATAACAGTTCTCTCCTGGTTGCTTCTAGGAAATGCAGTGCAGTATGTTTTGCTTCTAGGAAATGCAGTGCAGTATGTTTTGCTTCTAGGAAATGCAGTGCAGTATGTAGCAGGGTTTGAGGGATTCTGGCACCATCAAAAACTCAGGCTTTGGCTGGCTGGTCACTCTAGATAAGGTTTTTAACAGTAGGCCATCTTATGCATAGAGGACTACAAATCCAAACAGATGCACTATGTTCATAACAGATGCAGAATCTCTATAACATCTGTTCTTACACTATTTGTTCCTGGATGCTGCACTTGTTTGACACAGGATGGTCATACCAGATTCAATTGAGCTATTGATTAAAGAGTGGTTTAATCCTCTTTTACTGAAGCTAGGATTGACCCCATGGAAATTGTGTATTCTAGCCATGCTGGGGAAAATATGGTTTGGACAGAACAGAATCTTCTTCAAAGATAAGCGTCATGCTGAAAGATCGTGTAAAGCCACACTCATATCTAAGGTTTTTGTTGGAAAGGAGTTCTGAGGATATTCATGTACAGAGTTATATCAAGATTGGAATGATATCTCAAAGATTTATCGCAAGAGGGATTCACGATTTTCGAGATGGATTCATCCAGTAGGAGCTAGTGAACTTGATTCCGGTGGGAGCACAAAGGGTCATCTCTCCCAGCTGGAGTGGGTGGTGTGTATTGAGATTTTCTTAGAATCATCAAGTCTTGCTTGGGGCCCATAGGAGTACATGTCTTCAATGAGGCGGTGGTGTGAGTCTAACCTACAAGGTTGACATGTGTCATGGGTGCTTCCAAACTGGATGGAGATCCAAATTGAAGGAGACTCAGCCAACAAAATTACATGGGAAAGGAAAAGAGCAGAGCACAGAGCACAGAGCACCCATGGCAGCACACAACTTTTGTTTTGAAGATTATTTCAGCATCATGAACTCATGGTTTCTTTCCATCATTCATTGAGAGAAAAGCAATGCTGTTACTGAATCTTTTGGTGAAAGATAGTGCCCAGAAATCATCTCTGGTGGTCATAGATCATAACAACGAATTTTGGAATATTCTTTTGCCCAGAATATAAATGTTGGTCAATTATCACTCTCTTAATTACTGTTATTCATAAAAAAAGAAAAAGAAAACCCTAGAAAAAATTGTATAGACTTGTGAGGCTTACAAGTCCTTGTGGGTCTGCTAAAGTATCGTGGAGATTTTTCTGTATATACAAACATACATGTCCTACAGTTTATATAGGACCAGCCTGTGTCGAGTTCACTCAGGTGTTTTCCTCTGTCTTCAAATCATGATACACAATCATGCTTACGTATATATGCACATCCATATGTGCATTTATATTTTGTGTACATATGCTGTTTGTAATTGTGTTATATAGCCTGTTTTTCTACTTCAATTTTTTTACAGATTTATATGTGTCTTATAAAGATTTCTTTTGACATGTTCTGATACCAAATTAGGAGCTCATCGAAAATGAGCCTTACTTTCCTAGTAGAAGTTGTTGATTTTCTATATGGTTGACAATCTTGTGCTTCATTTGCAGAACATGGCTCAGAGGTGCATAAGTCTGAGGAGCTTCCTTCAGAGAATTCTCAACCTGCTCCTGTGGAGACTCCCCAACAGCTGTCCACTGGTGTTCCTCCACAAGCTGATATCCCTCCTGTTCAAGAGCAACCTAAACTGGATCTTCAGCCTATTTCTCGTAAAGTTGAAGTTCCTAATGGCAAGGTAGTGATCAATGCACAACCACCCACTATAAAGTTGAAGTTCCTAATGGAAAGTAGTACCATTTTTTCTGATGAGTATCAAGAAAGTATGCAATGTACCACTGCCATATATTTCTTTACTCCTAAAAACGGATGGTGGAGATTAATTAACTGTGGCTCCTAGTTACACAGTTACCATTGTACAGCTTTTCACCATCCTATGTAATCAGTAACTGATGGTGGGGTGGTAATTTTCCTATATTTTTTATTTTTTTTAAAATGGTTCAATTTTATATTTGATTTTTGTCTTACTTTGATAAGTTCTATTTTGTGAGGGTTAATCAATGAAAAAAGTTTGCAAACTGTGGTAAAACGTAATGGATAAAGACATAAATTGAAGGCATGTTAGAGGTATACCTGCATAAAGGCAAAAAGAAGAGATCTTACTATAAAAATAAAATTTCATACTTCAGGAGAAACTAGAGTCTAAAATTACTAACTAAAAAAAAACTCTCAAAAGCTTTAACTTTACAATCATGCTCGAAAGCAGTTGCTATACCTTTTGTTAAAAAAATGAAGTTGTCAGACCTTCCCATCATTTTTTAAAGTTATTGAGGAGTTTCTTGCTATTTCTAGGAATGAGCAATTTATAATTTTTTCACAGGAAGCCTATAAAAAGATTTAGGCGGATAGGATGCTGGTGAAGTACATGGGAGATTACATTGTAGAGAAAAATGGGAGATGCCATTAAAATGACTTGGTCACTGTCATTATTTCAGAGAAAAATGGGAAGGAGAAGCTAAATGGCTGATATTTAGTCAATATAACTCTTGGAAAGAAATGTTTTATCTTTGTTATTGTTCTTTTGATTCGAGAAGGGAGTGTGTGGCCCAATTATATCTGGAAAATAGGAGAGAGATATAGAAATCTTGCACTAACTATAGCTATAAAGGCTACATTTTTCCATGGAAATGTGACTGAGAATACTTAGAACTGGAAAAGAGAGGCAGTAATGTACTTGGAAATGTTATAAATTCTGAAATTTGGAAAAGCTGCCAATAATGGGTATATCTTTCAATGTCAGTCTTTCATATCAACTAGCATTTTGCCTGAACTCTGTTAACACTTCACTTAGTTGGAACCATTTATCTACCTTCCAGGTTGGAGTTCTCATTGGAAAGGCTGGGGATACTATCAGATATCTCCAATATAATTCTGGGGCGAAAATTCAAATCACAAGAGATGCTGATGCTGATCCACATGCTTCAACTAGGCCAGTGGAACTGATAGGAACTCTAGAGAATATTAATAAGGCGGAGCAGCTGATAAAGGATGTGATTGCGGAGGTTCTCTGATTATTTCTGTCCTAAGTTTAGGAAAATATACTTTAGTCCAATGGACTATAGTATTCTCATAGTCCATTGGTTTCATCACCATCTGATGAATGATGGAAGGTGATGGAAAGTGGTGTATTTTCCATTTGAAATATTTTTCTATTTATATCATATTGTCATATATGTACGTATGCATATATGAGCGTTTCTATATATATGGGGTGCTTTTTTTCCTGAACTATGTGTCTTCTTTCTCCTTTCAACAGGCTGATGCTGGGGGTTCCCCAGCTCTTGTTGCTAGGGGTTTCGGTACCGCACAATCTGGTGGAGAGCAAGTTCAGATACAGGTTCCAAATGACAAGGTGAATTCTATTTCCGACCATTATAGTAATTCTCCTGACAAGGCCTACCCATTTTGACTATGGTTTAGGGGCAAAATATTAGAACCAGCTAAACTTTGCATCATAAAATTCTGATGTATACATTTTGCAGGTAGGATTGATCATTGGTAAAGGAGGTGAAACCATTAAGAATCTGCAGACGCGATCTGGAGCTCGCATACAGGTAAGTGTACTTCTTTTGTTTTTGTTAATAGGGAGTTGTTTCTTCAATCATTGGGTAACTAAGTTTTCTTCCTTCTTTTTTCAATTGGCGAAAGGTAGGCATACTTTAGATTTTTCAAAATGATTCACTGGGGGGTTTAGTATGCATTGTAAGATTTATTTTTATTTTAAAATTTAAATTTTTTTCGAAAATGGGGTTGCCTATGCAGTTATGCACCATGAGATGACTTTGTGTCGTGCCTAAAAGCTAAGCAGAAAAATGCTATTCTTTTCAACCACTGATTTTGCTATAACTAAATCTAACTTTTTCCATATTTATCCTTTTTTGTAGTTGATCCCACAGCATCTTCCAGAGGGTGATGTATCTAAAGAAAGAACTGTACGTGTGACTGGAAATAAGAAACAGATTGAGACTGCACAAGAAATGATCAAGGAAGTAATGAATCAGGTTTGTGAAGGAGCATGGGTTATTTATCTTTTGTCTGATGTAGTGCATCATTCAGACTCTCTTGGTCCCATACTTAAGGTTAATTTGGAACGTCTGATAACTATGGGCTAGTTTTTCACTTGTTTGCCAATGTTAATGTATTAGTGAGAATTATCTTGAGAACTCCAAAAACCGCTGATTTGAGTTTGCGGCGCTCTTGTTTACTGAAGACTAATGTTTTTGTTGAAGCATTGATGATATTAGTTTTCATAGCTATGGTTTGATGAATAACAATGTTTTCTAAATAATAAAGGTGGACAATTACCTTCTTAATAGTGATAAATAACCATGTATCTAAATACCTAAAAGAAAACCACAATGTTTTCTAAATAAATAAGAGGTGGAGGAGGGTATACCTGTTAAGAAAAAAAAGTGAAAATATCCTAGTTTTTGTGTACTTTTTTCTCTTATTTTTTTTGTTCTGTTTTTCTTCTAGTTTGTCGTCCAGTATGAAAGTTGTTAATATTTGCTAATAATGTATGCAATGTACTAGTTACCTGTAAAAGAAGAGTAAATCCGCAAATGAAAAATAAAAACTTTTCGTGTGCATGAGGGTTACTGTGAAAAGACTTTGCATTGGATGCTTTTTTAGGCACCTTTGCGAGAAACTGCGATCAAACATGAGAAGCATATCATTCTTTTGGCCTAGTTTGTCATATGTCCTGTAAATATTTGAAGACTTTTGTAATGATGTTTTCCCCTTAAATCTGAGAGATGTAAGCTGTCGAAAGCTCTTGGTTATTATTGAGGAAGGAATTATGCGTGAAATTAAATGCATTTCTTTTAGCCACTATTCAATCTTCATGGTGATGGGTGAGAGCTTCCTGTGTCATTATCTGATCAATATCTACTTAGATATGAAATGAACAACAAATTTTTGTTTTGTTTTGAAACCTATACGGTCCTTGGTGCTACTTCCATTAGCATATGAAAGGACCATATAAATATTTGAGAATGTTTACTAAAGGACTATATAAATATTTGAGAATGTATGATAATCAAGTTAATTATAATCCAGTTAATATTGATAATTGAAACCTGTAGCATTCAGGGAATCTGTCCTCTCATATTATTTTATGTCTTTGTATCTCACTCATTTCTTTCTTATCTCCTTATTGCTATAGGCTCCTACAAGGCCTCCATCTCTCTCCACTGGCTACCCCCAACAAACGTACCGCCCTCGTGGACCCCCTGGACCACCTCAATGGCAGGCACGCCCACCCCCTCCTGCCCAACCAACAACGTATGATTATCAACAACGTGGACCCTACCCTACCACCCAACAATCCTCTCAATATCCGCCTCCAACCTACAGTAGTTACCCACCTCCACAAGCCCCAAGAAGCTATGCTCCAGGTTGGGAACAAAGGCCCCCTCAAACTACTAGTCAAACTGGAGGCTATGATTACTATAGCCAACAACCCCCTCAAGCCTCAGAACCCTTAGCCTCTGGTCCCCCACCAACTGCCAATCCTACACCAGCCCATGTGCCACCTCCTTACAATTATACACAACCCCATGCTACAGATTACCCCCAAAACCCTCCATATGCTCAATCTGTGCCACCCCAACAAAGTTATGGACCGGGATATGAGAACCCAAGCTACGATAAACCACCTCCAACTCAGCATCCATATGGCGGCCCTCATCCTGATGCTCAAGGAGGCTATTCACAAGCGGGACCCCCCCAAGCAGGGTACCAACCACAATTAGGGTACGCCCAAACGGGTTCCGCTCAAGCTGGGTACCCTCAGTCAGGTGGTACCCCCACCCAACCGGCTTACTCTCAACCAGTGCCCGCACAATCAGGGTACCCTTCCCATATGGGGCCTGTCCAATCAGGTTACCATCAATCAGGCCCTCCCCCATCAGGGTACTCTCAACCTGCACCCGCTCCATCGGGGTACACTCAACCTGGCTATTCACAGCCACCAGCATATGGTAAGGTTATCTTCTTGATGTGATTCTTTTTAATTATTTTTTCTCACAATTTTCAACTGCCAACTAGGTCAACTCTTTTGGGGATTGTATTTTACTTAGGCTGTTTATAAATGCTTTATTTGTTGTGCTTCCCCTCTGCTTGTTCAAACCTTGCCCCTCGAGATGCATGATCAACCTTTTTGACTGGCTGCCCTACCTTTAACCTGCTAATTATAGAGAAGAATTAAGCTTTAACTTGTTGCCTTCAACCAGCATTGAGCCAGTTTAACAGGTTGCTGCTCGAATCTGAGGGACGAAATTTGATGACCTATGAGGAAGTCAGTATGTATTAAGAATTTATATGCGTTGCTGATATGAAATACAATCCCGTGCGATTTAATTTATTCTTTTTGACTTAAAGATATTTCTCTGGATAAATTGCGAATTTACCATTCTCAAAAAAATGGTAAACTGGTTTTTCTTTTTGTGTTTCCCAATGACCTTGCTTTTGTTTACCATTTATGTTGTTGCTGTAGTTAACATCTAATGGCGTTTATATCAATGTTTTGTTGCAATGGATCTATGGGTAGATGGTGACTTAATTTTTTTTTGGTTGTATAATATTATATTTATAACCATCATTTTTTGAGTTTATATCATCTTATCTATGAAGGTAAACCTAGCTATGGGCCGCCACAGCCGGCTCCTGCACCTCATTCTTATGGGCCTCCTAGGCCAGCCCAACCTGGAGATGTCTCACAGCATACACCTCCATCATATGGAACATCTCAGCCCTCATATCCTTATGGGTCAGCACCACCTGCTACTCAAGATGGTTACAACCAGCAATTACCACCTAATCAACCAGGTTATGGTCAAGGGCAAAGTAGTAATTATGGACAGCCAGCTTATGGTCAATATCCATCTTCTCAACCGGGGTATGCAGAACCCCCTCAAAGTAATGTGAACTATGGTGCACCACCACCGACTGAGGTGGCATATAATAGTGCACATGGTCCAGCCCCTGGTGGTGCAAGTGGCCAACCTGGTTATGCCCAACCTGGCCCAAGCCAGGTGGGTTATGAGCAGCAACCGGTGGCTCAGTCAGGCTATGGTGGTTATGGTGGAGGCGCCCAGGCTGGTTATGTGAAGAGCTTATCACCTCAACCAGGATATACCCAGTATGACGCAAGCCAAGCATATGGCCACCACTCTTAAGATTATTGGCAGAATCCTTGCATCATTCTTTCTAGGGTCGCAGTAAGAGCGGGAGTGAACTTGCAGGTATCCTTATTTCCTCTTGAATTTTAGCATGAATCGATATTTTGATCTCTTCGTAAAGGTGGTATTTTTTGTTCTTTTTTTCTTTTTCTCTTTCTTTTCTTCCTGGTTTTAGACGTATGGTTGTCATGGAACCTGTTTTTCTGTCTTTCGGTTGAGTTTTGTCATAGGCAATCTGATTCTGTTCTTGTAGTAGTGGGATGAGAAGTAATTTAGCTATATGAGACTGGTTATGTAGCTTGTCATTGTACTTTGGTATTACTTGTGGGCTTTATGCTGTGGTTCTTTGGATTTCATGATGTTATCGCTTGAATGCAAACATGGATGTGTATTGGAATATGCATATATGCATGACTGTTTTCATGTACGTGTAGAGCATGTCCGTCCTACTTTTCTTCAATATTTGTTTTTGTTGGCATGTTCTCTCTGCCATCTTGGTTATGTATTTGGGTAGACTGAAACTCTTGTACATCATGTCTTTTCTTGCCATGGCATGTTCTCTCTGCCATCTTGGTTATGTATTTGAGTATACTGAAACTTCTATACATCATGTCTTTTCTTGCCATGGCAATTGAAGTTTGTGGCAATTAATGTTTATGGAGTCTTCGAGGTTGAGTGCATGAACCCGTAATGATGGTAGAATAAATTGGGGACACATTGATTGGTTTTTATCTCTTTGATGGGTTTGGTTCATACGATTTTGTTGCTTTAGTGTTTACCTCGTATATACGGGAAGACGTGTTCGTACACTTTTGGACTTCTTTTGCCGATGTCACTGCTTTTTTCCCCTGCTGGCACTCTCTAAGGTTCTGTCGGTTTCTTGATCGCTGCTAGTTTCACTGTATTTTTACTGCTTTGTTATGATTTGATTGTGATGTAAACCTTGACCTCCATCTCAAAATCTCTATTGATGACTGTTGGAAGAAAATAACATGCCTACGACCATAAGGAAATTCTTGTATTAATTCTCTCCCTGACACCCAACTCGCATGCATTTATGCACATGCATGCATGCCTGCCATAAATACACAATGCTCCCATGATTATATACATGCAGATACATACATGTATTTGGTAGTGATTCAAATACATGGATTCATGTCATGCACATATGACGTATGCTTGGTCACATTGTCACGCAATCATGCACTTTGCTGGGGGTAGAGCTAGAATATACCAAGTCCAATGGACTATTGAAAACCATAAACCATGGGGACCAACACCGTTAAATGGGATGAGAGCAGGAGTCTCTCTCTCATAATTTCATTAAACGGTGATGACCCCTATAGATTATGGTTTTCTGTAGCCTGGTGGATTATATCAATTCTTTCTCTTTGCCAAATGCTACTCTAAAAATGCTTGTATAATATGATTTTTTGAAGAATTATGAAGAATTTATTGTGCATCACGAAGCCAACGAAAATGTGTATCGCATCTACTCATCCCACATGCATGTGCTGGTAATTGTCACACAATATCAGAACACTGGCACATTGCCATATGCATGCACACACAAATGCATTTGGTAGATCCTATGAAATTTGCAGGTACTGTTGCAATGCCTTATTGTTGGCAGTCAAGTGCTGGATTAGCCCAACTCCATGACATTGAGGAAATGAATTGTCGTAGGAACCGAAATCTTTCTCGATGGGACTTCGAAAAATGAAATGAGAATGTAGTCTCTCAATGTGATTTAGAATATGAACCACTAGAATAGAATAAGGTTGTATTTCTCGACTATAATATGATTCCCACAATGAGGCCTATTCACTCCTCATTTTCGGTTTTTTTGATGATGCATTCGGTTGTACCGATCAATCTTAGTACGTAATTTGATTATGCCTTGAGCGTTAGAATGGCCTTCACATGGAAAGGTACACAAACCCCCTTTACTGGTTCAGATTAGAGAAGGTAAAAACATGGTGGTTTCGAATTCGAAAGAAAAAATATGGACGATATTTTAGTTTTACTTTTTATCTGCTTATTGTATTGGCATGAGATTATGAAGGTGTTGAAAATATAAAAAATAATTTACAAGAAATGAATTGACTGAAATACTTTGGTTCTCCTGCATGTTACATGCCCTCTCTTCTAAGTTTTGTATCACTTGACCTTTTTTCCAGGAAAAGAAATATCAAGGCACTTAGGAAGCTGATCATTGGCTCATTGTTTTACAAGACAAAATCAATCCTTTACTTATTGCTTTACAAAACAAAATGAACAATGCTGCATATTAGGACCCATAAGTAAAACTGAGGTGTGTGCGTGCTTTGCTGTCATTGTCCTCCATTCTATTTGAAGGAAAATAAATAAACTACTTCAAAGGGTAAAACGTGAAAAATGTACAAAAAATTTGAAAGGATAATTGGAAGCCCCAACGGCTCAATAGTTAGAGATATACTATGATTTATTTATGGAAAAATATACAAAGAGATCATTTACTTTTAGTACCACAAGTTCACAATTATTCTTGTTCATTAAATTTCAAATCAAATGGTTGTAAATGTACTTGTGACTAAGTTCGAAAGTTCAACAAAATTTTTTTTGAACATTGTGGCATATTTTAAGCTATCCAATTGGGCATCTAATAGTTAGGATTAATTAGTTAGGATTAATTGCGACGCTCTTGTACTAAATATACAATTCCATTAGTTATTGGAAACTTCAGTATTATGATGCTATATTCATCAAAAAGAAAATTATCACGCTAACTTTTAATGAACATTTGAGCTATTATCCCTTTTATCTTCCGGGATGATGACAAAAGGATATGTTAAAAGGGAATATATTTTTCACTTTTATTACAACGATGTTACAATTACTATTAGATGTAAAATTTAACATATATTAGTGTCACAATATTTAAGGAATTGTTTTTTGGATTTTGTGCCTAATCAATGATATCCCTAACTAGCTAATTTTACATCTAAAGTCCAAAAATATTGTGGCTTGTACCAAACTTAAATTGGTTTACTGAATACATTTCCTAAAATTAGAACTAATAATGTTCAACAAACATTAAGACACTTCCAATCCGTGTATATATATTTTGAATATTACAAACTGGGATCCCACAACAGGCAGTACAATGAGAAAAGTCTATTGATTGAACGTAAACACAAAATGGCAAAATCAAGCATATTGGTTGAATGTGAACACAAAATGGTAAAATCAAGCAATAACAAAAGAAAGAAAACACAGAACTTACAGAAGCTACTAAAGACAAGCCCTAAGTCATCATCCACCAATACTTAGAAAATCGAGCTTTATCCACTTAGTGGAGGGGTTGCCAAATGATAGGGGGTTTCTTGAAAAATTGTTTTTGTCAAAATGATTATTCATGGTGAAAACACTTTCCGATATTTGCCAAAATGACAGAAAGTATAAAAAAAAATGTTACAAATAAATTCTTTATTTTTGATTTCTTATATTTTAAATTTTTATTTTTTTTAATATCCTTGAGTCGGACCACTCCACATGGGGATACTCGGACTCGCTAGGTTGGTGAGTCTGAGTTACTAGAAGAGTTTTGGTGCACTGCTCAAAAGTAGTATTTGACTAATTGAGTGAGTCTACTCAGACTTGCCCGAGTAACAAGACTCGCTGCCCTTGTGACACGAGTATTACCGAGTTGGCTGTCCAACTCTGGAATCTTAAAAACTATTCAAAAAAATGATAAAAAGTTCAAAAAAAAAAGAAATTTAATTATAACATGTTTTTTTTTGTGTTTTATCATTTTGGAAAAATTGAAAAGTAATTTGGCCAAAAATACTTATTTTTATATTTTTTCATATCTAGTGAGTGCAGTCTCCCTCATCCTTTCTAAAGGATTGTGTACAATGAGATATCTCTAAACAAATTTTCCATAATTGAGAAGGAGGGAGAGTCTACGAACGAGAGAAAGAGAGAATCTCCATAGTGTCCATTCAAAGTAGGCATTGTATTCTTGATACAATACCATTGGTTGTGATGGGTTTTGTGATGAAGGCTATGAGTTAGAACTGCTATGAGTTAGAACTGGTATAAGGAAAAGTTTGTGGGTGGGATGAAGGCCAATTGGGGTGACTGATGAGAGGGCAAAATAATTATTACATATGTTTTTCTGGCAAAAGTTTATATAAGGATGCAAGGTTAAAATGTAGAATCACATATGCACCTCAAAAATCTATCGAAAATGTTGTTTTAATATTAAAAAAACCTTTTAATCAATCATCTCGACATCAAGATATATGAATATGAAAAAAAAAAAGTTTTTAGATCTCGAAAATAGTGCATCTTGCAACACATTATCTAGACCGTCCATTTTCAAGATTTTCATATATTTATAGATCTACTTGATTTTAACCATTTTTTTAATCTAAATTTTTTTAATTAGGTATGGAAATAGATTTTAAGATAATATTAAGAATTTTTTACAACAAAATTGCATGTTATGATAAAATTTTAAGGTGCGCTTTAATTGGATTGTTTAAGGTTGCAACATTATAAAAACCGCACCCATTTATTTTATATACATTACTTAATTATATTTAAAAAATAAAAAGTAATATAAAATTTAATATTTATAATATTATTGTAAAATATTATAGTGTAATTTATAATAATACTATATTATAATATTATAATATAATATTAATAACGTTATTATTGTTATTATTATTATTACTGTTAAGAAAAATTACGTACATATCTGTTATAGTTTGCGTTATTACAAAACTACCGAATAATTTCTGTTATTACTTATTTGTCCGTTTTTTTCATGTCATAACAAATTTTTTTAAAAAAGGCAATTTTACCCTTTTTGGAATTCAATGGATTCTCCGGAAATCAGGCCAATATAGGTTTTTGAAAAACCGAAAATTCAAAATTTTTGGTTGTTGAATAAGGGAAAATTTTAAATTTTGAACCGAAACTTTTTTTCTCTCGTTGGTCCTCTGCGTATTCTCTCTTTATGGATTTTTCCTTTTTGGTTGTTGAACAATCAAATTCAATAGATTTTCTGTTGTTCAACCATTTTGATAAACATAGAGAAGAGTTTAAACCCATTTAATTGTAATGGATAAACATAGCGGGAGAGAATAGATAAATATAGGAGAGAGAATGGATAAATATAAGTGGATAAATATAGGAGAGAGAATGGATAAATATAAGTGGATAAATATAGGAGAGAGAATGGATAAATATAAGTGGATAAATATAGGAGAGAGAATGGATAAACATAGGGAAGAGTTTAAAAGCAAAAGACTGGTAAAAGGCATAGAGAGAGAATTTGGTTATTCAAAATTTGAATTTTAAAAAGTTTGATTAGTACAGAGAGAGAATTTGGTTGTTTAAAATTTGAATTTAAAAAAATTTGATTAGTACATAGAGAGAGAATACGAGGAAAAAAATTTCGGTTCTTGAAAATTTATAATTTTCGGTTTTTTAACCATCCAAAATTGGCCTGATTTTGGTTATTGAACAACCGAAAATCCATTGAATTCGGTTGTTGAACAACAAAAAAGAGTAAAATTGTTTTTTTTTTTTAAATTTCGTTAGGCCATGAAAAAAAACCAACAGGTTACAACGGATACTATTAAGTAGTTTTGTACTAACACAAACTATAACGGATATGTACGTAATTTTTCATTATTATTATTATTATATTATAGAGAAAATATTTTCATATCTCATATTTTAAGTTTTATTAAAGATAACGGATATGTATGTAATTTATATTATTATTATTATTATTATTATTATTATTATTATTATATAAGGAAAATATTTCTATATCTACTATTTTTAAGTTTTATTAAAGATATATTCTAACTCCCTGGCCACTTTAAACCTATTTTTTAACTTAAACAAATGTGAGAAAGACATGCTATTTCTAAACCCAAGATTTAAATTTGCTCCGAGGGTCAGAAGAAATAAAATCTACAATTTTAATGCCCCAAGATATCTTTTAAAACTTTGGGTTTGTTGTGAAATGAAACTTAAAAGGTCACGTGTATTGTCATAATTTTTTTTTTTTTTTAATATCGAAGTGCAGCATATGTTTTTTAGCTCTCATTATATTTCATTGTGCAATCCACGTAATTCAATTGGTATATATAACGAGTTGTACGTAATTCAACTGGTATATATAATGGAAAAAAGTTATTTAAGGATGCAACCTTATAATGTAAATGCACCTACTACGGATGCACCTCAAAAATCCATCCAAAAAGGTAGTTTTAATGTTGAAAAATCCTTTGATTGATCATCTCGATGTATGACTATGAAAAATAAAAAAATTTTAAATCTTAGAAATAGTACATTTTACAACATATTATCTACACTGTCCATTTTCAAGATTTTTATATGTTTATATGTCTACTTGATTTTAACTATTTTTAAAATTTAAAATCTTATAATGAGATATAAAAATAGATTTTGAAATAATCCCTAGAACCTTTTACATAAAAATTATATACCATGATAAAATTTGAAGGTGCACCTTACCTCTACGGGTGCATCCGTATGCAATTGCACGCATATGTAATAGCAACTTCTGCAGTGAATAACTAACTGGATTTCGTTTCAGATCTTCTGTGTGGGTTTTGAGAAAACTCGTCTCCTCTTCAAGGTTCACAGCCATGGCCGAAAGAGAAAAGGACAAGGACAAAGATTTACGCGAAGGATCATTGAGGATCGAACGTGTAAACCAAGAGGTTCTTCAGATGAAGGACTCGATTGCTTTTGAAGATTTACGCGAAATGGGGATCGAACCAGATACATGCAAAGAGAAGGAGACACCCCAGGAATTATCGAGGATCAAACATGTAAGCCAAGAGGTTGTGCAGATAGTTTCGTTGTGGCTTCCAGTGGA